GTACTGAAAAAATAAAACACTCTGCAGGTGTTTGTCTGATTTAGGCGGCCAGGAAAAATGCCTTCAGTGTATAAAAGTTGTCAGGGCCAGCCTAAAATGAATAATTAGATTTGAGTATCTTACATGTCAAGGATGCTGACCTGGAGATAATACAGTGAACAAAACATGGAGCTCTTCATAAGAGTTTATAGGCTAGGCAATCAACAGGTGAAATCCTGGTGGATTTGCTATTTGATAATGAAGTAATTCTGATGGAATTTTTTGTTTGCAAAAACTATATTGTGATGATGAAAATACTGGAACTACTTAAACAATTAGAACAAGGGCCCCAAGTCTTAAAAACCTTGTTTTAATAGAGCTAAAAGGATGATACGTTAATGCATAAGTTACAAAGGGAAACCATCAAAAAAGGGGTTATAATAAACCTTGCAAGCCCTGACCAGTGTGCGCAGTGGTTAGAGCATCTGCCCGCACCCCGGATGAGTGTGGCCCGTTGGATTTCTGGTCCAAAGCGTGTTGCCTGGGTTACAGGTTTGATATCCTACCCTGTCGGGGAGAGCAGGAGGCAGTCAATGGATGTGTCTCTCACACTGATGTTTCTCCCTCACCCCTCCCCACCTAATACTCTCAAAAATCAATGGAAAGAATATCCTCAGGTGAGAATTAACAAAAAATAAAAGCCTTGCAGTATCAAAGTAAATTAGGCCAAGTCTGCTTAAGGACTTTTTTCCATCCTTTGTAACTGTCCAAATCTGTTTACCGGGTGCCCTCACCTGTCTATGCCCCGAGACTGGCAGTTCTTTACCTTAAAACCAAGCACCGTTCTTGCCCAGAGAAGAGAGCCACCCTCCCCTCTCCGTTGGAATCACTGAAGTGCTTTCTGCACGAGACGCACTGCGGCCAGGAACCTAATGACATCCGGCCGCAGGCACCTGGGGAAGACCGTGGTTGGCTAGGGAAAAGTGCATCTAAAACAGTGGCCGTTTTGGGGCAATATGACAGCTTTCTTGACAACCCAACTTTACATTCTCCCATGTTCCGGAACCCTAGGACCTTCGGGGGAGGTTCTGAGATAGAGTCTCCCTGCAGCAATTTCGTCTAAAAACCAGGCAAACCAGTAAACAAAGGAGGCATTTTTATGAAGTACGCACCTATTTATAATAAAATGGAGGGGGTCGTCAGGACTGCAACTCCCATGAAACAACGAGAGGAGGAGGAAGTCGCTCTCCTTTGCTCGCCAGCACCTCTAGGTCTCATTCTGGAAACGGGTGCTCACGCTTAACTAACCATGTCCTCACAACAAAACGGGGCGGGGGATTCTGCAACTCAAATTCTAAATACTCTGTTTTCCAAGAGGACAAAATCGCTTATGAGGTACCTGAAAGGGGCCGGAAGCCATTGTTACCCCCCCGGAGGGCGGGCTAAGCAGCGGAAGTGACGACACCAGTGCGCCCTTAAATAGCGGTAGGCGGGCGCGCAGCGCTCTCTCGGCCTTAGCGCCATCTTCCCAGGTGGGTGTTTCTGTGGCCCGTGTGTGGATTCCACGTACAATCCGTTTACATCTGGTCTCTGCACTTGCCATCATCACAGCAAACTAACTGTAACCTTTCTCTCTTTGCCCGTAGAAGCCTCTGCGCCATGAGAGCCAAGGTAAGCACTCCCGGGTAGTAAGCGGAGGCAGGGACTGGGAGATGGGGGGTGGAGACCAGGCGAGGGAAGTCCGCCATGGCTCCCGGGCCGCGGGCTCTCCAGGGTGTCCGAGCGCGGGGAGAGGGCGGATGGTGTGGGGAGAAGCCGAGGAGGTGGTTGGGTGACTGCGGTGAAGAAGGAGCGCGTGTGGAATTCGGAGTTTACTTCGGGTGTGGGGGTTAGGAAGCCAAATGATTGATGGTGTTTACTGCGACTAAGCCCTCATATTTGGTCGAGGACATGCCTGATTCCAAAGAATGCTCTCCACATCCCCATCTAAACCTCTCAAAAACTAATGACCTTTTTTTTTAATTCCTTGCCTCTGGTTATAATCGGTGGCCAGTGGAGGAAGAAGCGAATGCGCAGGTATGTTGAGACTCTGCCGGCCCCGGAGGAGGGAAGTGGGGTGGTGCATGCCTTGCACAAAACTTGGGAGGGACGTTTGGTTTAGAAATCTAAAAGAATCGTCGGTGAAAAACGTTTTGAGTGCTGACTTGTCAGAGCCAGGGATTGAACACAAAAGACGAGAGAATGTAGTGCTTGATCTTCTCCCCACCCTGTGTTGTGTGCACATAAGATTGGGCGGGGGGCTTGTTGTGGGCTTGCGGGCAAGGAGTGTATTCTTGTGTCTGCTTTTCAGGCTGAAGCGCAAAAGAAGGAAGATGAGGCAGAGGTCCAAGTAAGCCGCAGCTGTGCACCCGTGAGAGCCACAGGAGCAGGAATGAGGGAGCCAGAGGCCGGGCGAGCCGGCGGACTGCGTGCCTGCTGTCTGGCGCGTCTCCGCGGGAGCTGGAACATACGTGCGCGTCACCTGAGCGCCGAGCCCTTTTGAGAGGCCCACCCTGCTCTTACAAAAACTGTCTCTTTTGGATCTTTGCCCTGGACCCGTGACATTCTGGACTGGTTCTGTTCTCTGTGGCTGAATGTAACGTGTACAATAAATCACCTCTTCTGTCTTAGCTGAAGAAAAAGATAATGTCTGCTTTGTGGTTTTTTTGGTTCCATTGGCTGGGGATTCTGTCGGTACAGCGGGCCCTGTTACTACCCTATGCAGTAGAATATCGAGCTACGTGCTGCCCCCGGGTTGTGGGCCCTGCCCCTACCCGACATCCGGGCTCTGGAGTAGTGGGAGCCTGGCGACAGGTATCGCGATAGTTCTTGGGCAAATGGTTCCGCCCCTACTATCTCTAGGCCTGCGTCAAGTGCGGTTTTTTAAGACGTTTTTGCGGCATGGTGTCCTGTTACCATGGTGACACGCAAAGCTTGATGGGAACTTCCTGCGGCTAGTCGCGCAAGTACTGTACACACCATAGAGTATAGTTCCGGGTCTGGTGGCTAGAGCGCCATTTCTTCCGCAGGAAGCGGAAGGGCCGCTGGGTGGGCGGCTCTTTGTCGAAGCTAGAGGACCGGCAGGCGGCAGCAGCAGCAACTACGGCGGCGGCGGCAGGTGAGGGAGGCGGGAGACAGGTGGAGGCCGCGCCCGGAGGGGAGGAGTCGTCGCCGGCCCAGCGGCCGGGCTCGGCCGGCTACGCCAGGCCCCCCAGGCCCGAGCTGGCTCTTCTCAGGCCCCAGGGCCGAGCCCCTTTTCTAACTGACCTCGCTGGGCGAGCAGACGCTAGCTCCATGACGTCACAGCCCTGCCCATCCCCTCAGCCTGATGTCACCCGCAGTCCCTCTCCCGCCTCACCTCGTGTTCACTTAATGTCCTGTTCACCTCCCACGGTCGAGCGCGGGCGGCACTGCACGGAACCTGCCAAGCCAGAAGATTTGCTGCGGGAAACGGGACTTTTCCAAACTCGGGTGTTGCGAGGCGTCATAATCACTGCCCCCAAGCCCAGTCGGCCATCCCACTGCACTGTCAGGCGCGGCCCTTGCGCGGCCCCGCAGGCGGAGTTCCTAACCCCAACCCTGAACCGGACTCTGACCCCCATGTCCTCCATTTGAGGCAGGGCTCCCCTCGCCCTTTGTGCACCCAGGGCTGGTTGCCCAGCCCATCCTTCTCGGCTCTCCAGCTTAGTTCTGTCTCTTACTTTTCTTACTTGCAACGTCTCCCTTTGGTGAAGTGAGTTGAAACCCTGAGGAAATCTTGATGTGCCCAGAGCTCTTGCCGTTTTGTCAGACTGACTGACTTGTAACTGTCACCCCATAGTCCCCCGTTCCTACCCTTTCTCCCACCCAAGTATCTGTTTTGTTCCTGTTCAGAACCCAGCAGTGATGTGGAGGTGGAGACCCACAGGAGCCCCGGACTTCACCTGAGCTACCTCAGGTATCGAATACTCGTGGGACAGTGGGTGGGAGGAAACCATATCTTATTATCTGTACCTGGTGGGACTCGCCCGCGGGTCAGGCTTGGAAAGATGGCATTTATTTTTCACCAGCTCATTTCCCTCTTACCACTTGATTGTTTCTATAATCCTGAGACATACCTCCCTTTGGAGGAAAAGGACCCTTTTACAGATTCTCTTGTATTTTTGGCCTCTGATCAGTTCATTTTAGGGAGATCTGAAGGCAAAGTCAAGGCAACCAAGTGGTGGTTGTGGCAGATCAAAGCCAGAGAAATTGGAAAGATTCCCTTATACTCCAGGGGAAACAATATGAAGTTTTCCTATTTGAACAGCAGGGGGAGCCTGGACACTGCCTAGGAAAGGTTTACCAGGTCAGACACATGGTAGCCAGGACTCCCAGTCTTGTGGGGGGTGGGGTCAGGGGCGGGCTAGAACCAGGGCAGTGGACTGACATTCCAGAGCTCTCTTGGGAAAGATGAGACTTAAGAAGCTTTTATAGCGTCTATAAATAAAGAGGATCTTTATGGGGTGAGGAATGGTGTGGTTTGATGTCAGTGGTATCTTCCCGTGGAGGGTTAGGAGGGGATAGAATGGGAAAGTAAGGTCACTTGTTCCTGTGAAATTAACTCCTTCTTCCTGCTTTTGTTCTTTGGTAGTCTATAGTTTTGTCCTTTGGTAGTCTATAAGTGGAGATCCTAGCCAGAGAACTCTTCCCCTGAAATAGGAGAGGAGGGAGCTGACCACACTGGGGTTGATAGTGAGTGGTATTGAGCTGGGAGGGAATACTAAAAAATGACAGGTTTAGGGACTGCCTTCAGGGTGGTGACACAAGTCTCTTCACTCAAGCTTCCCTGGGGTCTAGAGATAGGATACTTCACAGAGCCCTCATCTGAAATCCCATGGAAGAGGGGTTAAGGGAAGTTTTGTCACCAGCATTCCATTATCCACAGCCCTAGTGGCTCACCAGCCCATCTTGGCCACGATTCCCAGTACCTTCCTAGCCTATTCAGACACTGACAGTTTTAATTTCATTTCCACAACTTTAATAAGGTCAATTCAAAAGGGGAAATAAAATCCAGTACTGTTCTATCCCTGCCCCCTCCTTGGCCTGCATTCATTAGTGAGATGAGATGGCTTCACCCCCAGCTCCCTCCCTTCTCCATTAGCCAGGCAAGTGTGAATCACTGTCCCAGACCAGGTGCACAAGAGCCTGGGCGGGACTTCTGACAAGCCAGCCAGTCTGGGCAGAATTCTCACCCCTAAGGTTCTCCATCTCCAAAGCCATTGCCCCTCTGGCCTGCCTCTTGTTGGACTGCCTACCACTAAAGTCGGGAAGAGTGTGGCCTCTCGGAGGACTCTTGTTTGACACAGTTCTTCTCTTTCCTAGTGGTCACCAAGGGTGGCAAGAAAAAGAAGAAAGCCCTGAGTTGGGGGGGACCAGGATGCCTGACCGGGACAGCTATGCCAACGGCACTGGGAGCAGCGGTGGAGGCCCTGGAAGTGGTGGCAGCGAGGAGGCCAGTGGGACAGGGCCAGGCAGTGGAGGGGCCAGCTCAGATGCCATCTGTAGAGACTTCCTGAGGAATGTGTGCAAGCGAGGCAAGCGTTGCCGGTATCGTCATCCAGACATGAGTGAGGTGTCCAACTTGGGGGTGAGCAAAAATGAGTTCATCTTCTGCCATGACTTCCAGAACAAGGAGTGTAGTCGCCCAAACTGCCGATTCATCCATGGCTCCAAGGAGGATGAGGATGGCTATAAGAAGACAGGAGAGCTTCCCCCTCGGCTGAGGCAGAAAGTCGCAGCAGGCCTGGGCCTTTCTCCAGCTGACCTACCGAATGGCAAGGAGGAGGTCCCCATCTGCCGGGATTTTCTCAAAGGTGACTGCCAGAGAGGAGCCAAGTGCAAGTTCCGTCATCTACAACGGGATTTTGAATTTGATACTCGGGGTGGAGGAGGCACTGGTGGTGGGGGCTCAGCAGGCCCAGTCCCCCCAGGACGACGTCATGATCTCTATGATATCTATGACCTCCCTGACAGGGGCTTTGAGGACCATGAGCCAGGTCCCAAGCGCCGACGAGGTGGATGCTGTCCCCCAGATGGCCCCCATTTTGAATCTTATGACTATAATCTGGCTCCACCCCGAGGGTAGAGTGCAGGCTGCTAGAAGAGGAGAATGCCATGCTCAGGAAGCGGGTAGAGGAGCTAAAGAAGCAGGTCAGCAATCTTCTGGCTACCAATGAGGTACTCCTGGAACAAAATGCCCAGTTCCGCAATCAGGCCAAGGTCATGACCCTGAGCTCCACTGCACCAGCAACTGAGCAGACTCTGGCTCCCACTGTGGGTACCGTTGCCACTTTTAACCATGGCATTGCCCAGACTCATACTACTCTTAGCAGCCAGGCTCTACAGCCTCGGCCTGTGTCTCAGCAAGAACTGGTAGCCCCCGCGGGAGCTCCAGCTGCTCCCCCAACTAATGCTGCACCTCCTGCTGCTCCACCACCCCCACCCCCACACTTGAATCCAGAGATCACGCCACTGTCAGCTGCTCTGGCTCAAACAATTGCCCAGGGAATGGCACCCCCACCTGTCTCCATGGCTCCTGTGGCTGTATCTGTGGCTCCTGTGGCCCCTGTGGCTGTATCGATGGCCCAACCCTTGGCAGGAATCACAATGAGCCACACCACCACTCCCATGGTGACTTACCCCATTGCTTCCCAGAGCATGCGTATCACAGCCATGCCACACTGATGGAGCTACTACTGGACACTCCCATGGTATAGCCTCCCAGGCTGGGATCCGGGGAGTCCTTTACCCACCCACTCGCCTAGCCCTCCCTGCCCTGTCTTAAGGGCTTATTCAAGAACTAGGACAAGAGACTACAAGGAGTTTACTTCTGAGAAGGGGTTGGCTGGTGGGTTTTCTCTCACCTCCCTTTTATGAGGGCCCTCTTGTCCATCTTTAAGTCTCACAGAGGGGGCTTGCATAGGGGTGCAGACTGAAGCCAGCAGAGAGGAAGGACTGACTGAGGGGTTGAATGTCCCCTGATGGGAAGATGGGGACATGCCTGGTCTTGTCTTCTCTTCTGCTCAGCACAGGTCCAGCACTGGCTTTGGAAGAAAACAGTGCCCAGAGGGAAAGCCAGGAAAGATTGGGAAGTGGGTGGCCAGAAGAGGAGGCCTAATAGGAGCCTTCAGACAATTGGGGACGTAGTTGAGTTGGACAATAACTGCTCCTGGGCCTGTAGCAAGGCGGGGACCATAGTAATCCAGCCCAATGACTAGGGGAGGATTCATTACCTTGGCTTGGCCTGGAAATTCATAGGGCAGGGCCCACCACTTTCCAAAGAAATAAAAAAAAACAATTATTTTTAACAAATGAAGGCAGTGAAAACTTGCTTAGATTTCCTGTGTGGAATATGGGAGCAGTAAATAGATGTCATGCCAAAATGGGATAAAGACCCCCCACCCTCAGAGCTGGGATAAAGTTGGATGGAGACCAGTGAACAAGGGTAGGGACCCAGAGGAAGACCAGATGAGACTTTGGGGAAGGCACTTTGTGAGGTAAAAGCATTGGAGCCACCTAGTCCAGTTTAAAAATAGTCCCATCTGTTCTGGTTTCTATCTGCATGAACTATTCCCAGGTTGCCTTAGTAACCAGGGCTCCTAGGGTCATTTAGGGGGGCAGGTA